CACACACACACACACACACACACACACACACACACACACACACACACACGTATGTAGGTACAGTATGTATATTTGATGTCTCAGTGTCTGCACCTCTTTGACTGGAGGAAATTTCTTCTTGCACTCCATGGACAGAGAGCGCAGATCCGCCTGCATGTTCTCCAGGAGTTTCTTCACCGCCTCGGGGCTGCTGGTCGACATCTTCACACTCATTCGACGGCAATTCAACTCTAACGAATGCTTAATAAATCACTTAACCCGACCGAGGCGTCTCGCGACACATAAACAAACCTCGCCGCGGCACTCGCGTCAATTAAAGCGCCGGTCCTCAGCCGCGGGCGCTCCTCGGCGTCGCACACATGATCACAATCGCGCTGGTCGCCGATCTTTATGACATTTATGATCTATAAGCGCGCTTCTCGCCTGAGATTCGTGATTTTTTTTCTTCGTTCCTGGACGCCTGTGCGGAAAACGACACGTCACGTCAGACGTCACTTCCGTAAACACTGACCGGATCCGCCAGAGAGGGAGGGGCTCTGGCGCCCCCGTGAGGCGCTCGGCGGCGCTGCAGGCGTTTCAGTGGAAAAAGTGAGCAATGAACGGAGACATCGCTTTATTTAACGCGCTCGCTCTGCTCGAAAAAAATCATAAACACATAATTAAGAAATACGTGACATTCTATTGTAATTTTTAAAGTCCGGACAATAAAAAAGTGAATTTTAAATGTATTAAGTTCACCTCAAGACTTGTATCGAAACTTTCAGAAAAATCTAACGTGAAACTATAAATCATTTAAAGCTTATCAAATGTAGTAAATGCCATATTTCACATTATTTTCCTATTTTGCTGTTGATATTTTATCATATTTACCCTCTAATGTTTTTGCTCGTTAAAAGAGTTCTATTTTCAAGAACAAGAAAAAATGTGTTAAAATGTAACAATTAAAAAGTAATATGCAAATATGTAATATGCTTTTACATTTAGATTTATTCCTTTACTTTTAATTCAAAATGACTTACATGAGATGAATACACATTGTCAAGTATTCACAAGGTTTTAATGCAAGAAATCTTACACTGATATAAAATTAATGCGAACCATTTTGCAATTAATTGCAACATTACAGTATTTACCTAATGCATGGTTTATGTTTGATCCTTTTAAGCCCTATATATGTTTTTGCACCAGAGAGCTTTTGTGTGTGTGTTCATGCAAATGCAAATAAAGTTGCAGTTTGAGAAGCAAATGCTTTTATTAATATGGAAGTGCTTGCATGCATGTAATTTAGGCATGCAAGGTCTCATCAGAGATGTGCATTTGCATTTAGATGTATTCATTTAGCAGACACTTTTATCCTTATTGTGCATGAGAGTAAACATAAGAACTGTCAAGTATTCACAACAAAATCTTACACTAACATAAAATTTATTTGCAATTTAATGCAACAGCTACTTACCGCTCGAATTACAAATGCTATATTAAATAGATTCCTCATAGTTGTTTCTTTTTATTGATGCAATGAGTAATCTAGCTCAAATAACACATTTACAAAGTTGTGAAACCCAACGCAAGCGTTCTGTACAGCTTATATACACAAAGACTGCTGGTGGTCTGCTTTCACAGGACGCTCCCAACACTTCATGTGCATCATGACAACATGCACCAGTGAAAACAAGCAAAAAGAAATACATCTGATTGGTCCTTAATATGCAATCTGATTGATTTGTGCAGGAGTTAAAATTTCACACCTTTATCACACTTGTTAAACAGTAGATTCTACTGACAAACGTACACTGCTTGAATAAAGCTTCGCAATAAAAATACAAAATCACGAGATGCAATGACTCGTATCCTAAAACATTCTTAAACAAGTGCACAACAATGATGACTGACCCTGTGTAACACTGTAAATTGTTGCACATCACCTCAAAACAGTACCATATTCATGCATGTAATACTATCAGTTCTGTATCGTCTAAAACCTTCATAGGCATTTATAACTCATGCATATAATATATATATTCGCTGTGTTTACCATGCATAAAAAAAACAAAAAAAACACTAAGTTGCTTCCTTAGAAAGCAGATGCATTGATTGTTTGAACTGAAACAGACACTTTCTACACTTTCTAACATCTATTTCCATTGTGTTGCACTCTGGGCAAAGTGTTCACCTAAATACAATTGTCATTATTATTTATTGGACTCATGTCATTTCCAAACTCGTTTGACTTTCTTTTATTTCTTTTTTCTTTTTCTTAACATGGAATCAGAACCAAAATAATAATAATAAAATTAAAAAAATTAAAAATAGAACAAAAAATACGATGATTATCTAGCAGTTCTCGTCAAAATGACTGAAATGGCCAATCAAATCAAAGAAGGTGAGCTTGAGGTAAGTAGCTAAACATGTAATACGTGACAACTGTTTAATAACAGAAATGTAAGTATATCCAGCGATCATGCACAATATTCAAGTTTCTTGTCGACATACACTACCGGTCAAAAGACTTGTAATGTGTTTTAAAGAAGTCTCTTCTGCTCATCAAGGCTGCATTTATTTGATCAAAAATACAGAAAAAAACTTGCAAAATGTTATTACAATATAAAATAATGGTTTCTATTTTAATATCCTTTAAAATATAATTTATTTCTGTGATGCAAAGCTGAATTTTCAGCATCATTACTCCAGTCTTCAGTGTCACATGATCTTCAGAAATCATGCTAATATGCTGATTTATTATTAGAATTATCAACAAATATTTTTTTAGAAACTGTGATACTTTTTTTCAGGATTCTTTGATGAATAAAAAGTTAAAAAGAACAGCATTTATTCAAAATATAAATATTTTCTAACAATATAAATCTTTGCTATCACTTCTGATCAATTTAACACATCCTTGCTGAATAAAAGTTTTAATTTCTTTCAAAAAAAGAAAGAATAAAAATTTACCGACCCCAAACTTTTGAACGGTAGTGTATATTGTTAGAAAATATTTCTATTTTATATAAGTGCTCTTCTTTTTAACTTTTTATTCATCAAAGAATCCTGAAAAAAGTATCAAAGGTTCCAAAAAAATATGAAGCAGCAACAGTTTCCAGCTCTGATAATAAATCAGCATATTATTATGATTTCTGAAGATCATGTGACACTGAAGACTGGAGGAATGATGCTGAAAACACAGCTGCGCATCACAGAAATACATTACAGTTTAATGTATATTCAAACAGAAAAACGTTATTTTACATCATAATAATATTTCACAATATTACATTTTTTCCTCTATTTTTGATCAAATAAATGCAGCCTTGATGAGCAGAAGAGACTCCTGTAAAAACATTAAAAATCGTTCTGATCCCAAACTTTTGACCGGTAGTGTAATCAATGAAATTCATGTAATGTACTTCATAATTGAATGTGAGAGACAAGAAACTTTAACAGAGCCGTTTAGTCATATCAGACATACGATTAAGACTGAATGTGCATATTTTAAAATAAAAATATGGAACTTATTTGGAAATGGGTCATTACGTTACAACAGGTTCTAGTTATTTTACTACTATCTTCTTTTTTCGTTATTCCCTTTAAATCTTTAATTCCTTTAAATAATTTATAACAGCATCTCCCCAATTAAAAAAAAAACAAAACAAAACACAATATGAGATCTCCGAACTGTAAGTCACTTTTGCACACAATAAAACCACCGTGTTCTACTAAAGAAATAAAGTCACAGAAATACAGGTTTGGAAGTCATGAGGGCGAATAAACAATGAAAAAATGTAATTTTTGAGTGTGCTATTCCTTAATAACTCCAGAGTTAATCAGCTTATGTGAATCCAGCCCTTGGCTCCATCATTTTAAGACCCAGAAGGCTTCGGGTGCATTACAGAGAATCTTCCTGCTCCGCTTCAACCTAATAATAACGCTCATATTTGGCCAAGTTTAGACCGTAGACGTGTCAATATTACTGAGAGCAGTTTATTATATCCTAAAAGCACAAAATAACACAAAATAATTAAGCAAATCAGAGCATAATTAATGTTTAATTTAATGCAAGACACCCCAGGTGAATAAGGTAAAAATTAGTAATAGATCACCATACTTAGTTTAGATAAAGAATTGCAAACATTTTTTGTATTACAGTTTTTCTGAAGTGTTATGTTTAAACATGCAAATGAGGTATTATATAATATGCATACATTTCCAGAACATAAATATGAACATTAGATAAAGCCAGGTTTTTGTTTTTACTGAGGGGATTTTGGATATCGTTTTTTTTTTTTTTTCTCCATAAATCAGAAAACACCATATGATCAGACAGAATAAATCATTTTCACCATGTTTTTAGGAATAAAAGGTGAATGATACACGAACAAACCCCTCTGTAAAAACCTTCAGAATATCGATAGGAACAAAACAGCTAAGTCTGGTGTAAGTACGTACTTCTTAAGTGGAGAAAAATCTCATTTTGAGAAAATGGCCTTGATTGAAATCTATAGATGTGCACGCTCAGAAAAAAAGGTACAAAAGCTGTCACTGTGCCGGTACCTTTTTAAAAGGCACACCTTTGTGTTGTATGCACACCCCTTATTGGTACCTTAAAGGTACATATTAGTGTCTAAAGTGTACATATTAGTACCTAAAAGGTACAAAAGTGCACCTTTTGAAAAGGTACCGCCCCAGTAACAACTTTTGTACCTTTTTTTCTGAGAGTGCGTAATAAAATAAACACTTAAAAGTGTATTTTAGATGTTTTTTGTAACCCTAGCTAACCCTACGTTTTCTCTCAACTATCATGTTTTTCTTTTAAATGAGTGTGATTACGTTGTGTTTCAACATTCTGCTGTCTATAATATTGACACACTCTGGCTTTCGATGCCTTCTGACCAATAAGAGCAAGCATTTCAAATGCCCTCCCAGGCTGTGGATCCTGGCCTGTCTGTCGTAATGCTTATTTGGCTGCCAGTACTGTGTGAGGTATCACGGGAAGCTTTAGAAGCACATGCAGTGCTCCGTCTAGCAGTGCGACTCCTTCTCGCTGACAGGGAAGTACCCGTCTTTGGTCGGACCGCCTCGCTGGCGAAGAGTGTCGCCGTCGGCTGCAAAGATGGCCTGAAGTTTCTCCTGCTCTCGTCTGGTTTTGGGCAGGTCCGGCGAGGGCGTGATGAGCTCGTGGAAACGCTGAGGAGAAAAAAGCAGAGAGGTTTGGAATAACATGCTACACTCTCAGAAAAAAAGGTACAAAAGTTGTCACCGGGGCGGCACCTTTTCAAAAGACACACCTTTGTACCTAAAGAGTCTATATTGGTACCTAAAGTGTACAAGGGTGTACCTTTTGTACCTTTTTTTTCTGAGAGTGTACCATACTACCTTTACAGTATGCATATTTTTGCATAGTTTGCAATTTCTCTCAATGCATATCAAAATATGTACAGTAGTATACAACCATAGCACACTATATGGAATACTTTATCCCAAAATGCAATGCAATGCACTTGACTTTAATTTCTGATGTGAATAATGATACCAGATATAGTATAATATCTAACAGCCATTTTAACATTTCTGTCTTGATTCATTATTTGATCAGACTGCCAAATGTTAAGATTTGATTGTTTAAACTAATTTTAAACGATATATTGTTGAATTCCAATGGTTTGTGGTGGAACTGGAACTGGCTTCCAAGCCTGACCAAATAATAACAATAATTAATATAAAATAAAGTAATAGTACTACTAATAGTAATCTTTTAAAATATTGTTATGATATACATTACCAGTCAAAAGTTTTTGAACAGTAAGATTTGTGATGTTTTTAAAGAATTCTCTTCTGCTCACCAAGCCTGCATTTATTTGATCCAAAATACAGCAAAAGCAGTAATATTGTGAAATATTTTTACTATTTAAAATAACTGCTTTCTATGTGAATATATGTTCAGATGTAATTTATTTCTGTGATGCGCAGCTGTATTTCCAGCATCATTACTCCAGTCTTCAGTGTTACATGATCTTCAGAAATCATTCTAATATGCTGATTTGCTGCTCAAGGACATTTATTATTATTATTATTATTATTCATAATAATATTTATAATAGTTGAGTATTTTTTTTTTACAGGATTCTTTGATGAATAGAATGATCCAAAGATCAGCATTTATCTGAAATAAAAAGCTTTTGTAACATTATACACTAT